GTAATTATTACTACATATTGACAAAACATTTTTACTACGTACAATAATGCACTTTTTTAAAAAAAAATCAGCTTAAGATCTACTAATCTATAAAAAACCCTGTTTATTTTGAAAGCTAACCCAAAGACTCTTAAACAAAATAGCACTTACTTCTAAATGAACACATAAAACATTACAGTGTTGAACTGTCCTTTTCCTATATGTGAACCATAGGTTGTGTTGGAGGACGTATTATTTTATTTTAGGAATCAACTGTTCCTTGAATAGTACTGAAAGTAAGTATTAAAAATTACTCCAAAGGTTACATTTGAGAATAATTAATCAATTAACAGTGTAATGTTACTAAAAGCAAATGAACCAAATATTGTTTCTTCCCATGTTTCAGGTCCAAAATCTTTGGTTGGGCTCATGGTGTTTTCTGAGCTTGGCTGTTTAATTGAATATGTTTTGTTACCAATAGTTCAATTTATGAGTTATATATACTATATTCTACATATATTCTCTATAATTGAACCCTAATATTCTTTCATCTTTTACTTTTCAAGCTGCATCATTGATTAAAACAACATTTGTAAGTCTGTATTATTATTTGGGGGGAGGATCTATAACAAAAAGATCAAAGTATTATGTAGTTTTTGCCTTTCTTCTAAACAATTGAAACTATTTTTAAATAATCAGTATAATACCAATCAACAAAGAAAGATCAGGAAGGGATCTTTTTCACGTTAACCATATGTGAAGTTTTGTATGCATCTTTTGAGTAGCATCTCCATTTATACCTTATTGAATAGCATCTCCATTTATAACTTATTAAATTAACATTTATTATATTTCCTCCATAAGTGTGTGCGTATTTATGTTAATCTGCATGCACAGAGATTATGCAGTTACTATTGCTAGTGCTCTGTTATATGCAGAAAGATCAAAAGAACTTTGCAATTAGTTCTGCAAACACAGCAGCTTTATATGTACCTTCAACAATAAACTCTCAGCTGGCATGCCGGTGCCACTGATTATTAATATGGAAGTGAAACATTTGCACTTTGAAAAAGAGGCTGTAGTTTCATAAGGTTACTTGATGATAAAGACTATGCCAAACACGATTTGTTTTAAACCTGGCTTGAAGAAAACATTGTTACTTGTTTCATACAAAATGCTAACTATAAATGGTTTACAAACCATGCCTGGTTTAGCATATCATTTCAAAATCAAATGGAAGTGGTGAGTGAACACAGCCAATAAGGATTAGTAGACTATTTATTAATATCAGAAAAATTGTCAACAGGTTTCACAATGGAAAAGCTATTAAAAAGGCTTCTGTTGTAATGTCACATTTTTTTAAGCATCAGAGTTGTTTTTAAAGAATTAATGTGTTTTACTGATAAAATATATGATATCTGGAAAAAGATAGAACATATAAGGAAAAATTGTATTTATATTTGAAATTTGTATTCAATACATTCATGGTTAATATCACTATTTTTAGCTGGAAAAAAATCAATTAAATATTTGAGGTATGTTTACGTGTGTGTGTATGTAAATTAAAATAATAGTTTATAGTCACTAAAATGAAAGGAAGTAAGGGGAAAGTCACTTTCAACAATGATTTGCCACATGAATTTTTGAAAACTTTCAAATCATTTTGCATGCCTAACTGATGGCAAATAGTTAAACCTCTTTTAAAATAATAAAATTTAGATATTCAAGTAAGAGGCTTCATGGAAAGGATAACAAAGAGAGATAATAAAGAAATTAGTGGCTTCTTCCAATCCAACATGCATAGGCCTAGAACTGGCATACTTGAAAACCAACTTGTGTGAAATAAAAGCAATTCTTAGTAAAGCATATCCAACTAAGATTATGCATCCAAATGGGGAGCACTGTTGATAAGAATATAAAGCACAATTTCTATGCCCATTCAAATAAAGTTTTAATCTAAACTGGCCTAATATGTTTTTGACTCAGAGATAATAGTCAATTATTCCTTGTGACTAAGGACTGAAAAGAGAATCACCTCTATTGAAAAAGAATGGCACAGAAGAAAAATGCAACTAAATAGAACATCAGCTAGATTTTCAAATTACAAAGTTTAAATCTCAATCCCATATTTATAAATAAATATACAAAATTACTACATGCATTGGTTAAATAGTTTGTTCATTTTAGAAAGAGAAATATTATTTTAAACAGAAATAATAATATGATCATCTATTAGACGTTTAGTTAAGGTGATGAACAGAAAGGAGGCAGAAGACTGTCCTCTCAATTTTTCCACTCTCTATAGTAAATGGGTGCAGAAAATGAGATTTGGAGTGAAGAGAAATCTACTCAATTGCTTGATGACAGCCACCATTGGAAACCAAATGTGGCACAGGAAACCAGATCCAGTTCTATAATACACTCTTCTGAATTTCTCCAAATTTGCAAAAAGAATAAATCCTTTAACTGATTGCTATAATTTGCACACAAGGCTTTAGTTGTGTGTAAAAGTAATGCCCTGGCTCCACCTCGTGGTGAAAGTGTGCTCAGCATGAGAAACAGTGGGGATACAAGGAGTCAAGAAAATGTAGTCTTCCTCCCGCCCCCACTCCCCAGAGCTAAAATGATCTAAAGTGAACTAATCAAATATTTGAATTCTCCTTGTACTAAATTAAATTATATCAGTCTTCCTGAATCATTTTATTATATTTAGAAAAGTTCCTTCTGACAGATAATATGCTCATCAAGATCAAGCATGCATTTTCCAATTCTGGGAACACACTGACTTTTCTGAAAGCCATTAATAACACAGGATTTATATACAAGATAAATTCAATTTCTTTTTTCAGTTAATGGCCAATTAATTGAGGCAGGCCTGACTGAAAATATTGCTCAAATGTCATTAATCTAACAAAAATTAACTTTACAATTTTTTGCAATCAGGAGAACATGATTTTAAGGTAATGTTATTCAATACTGCAGCATAGTCCCTATCTTATTTAAAGGTCACATTAGCTTAAAGTACTGAAATTCATCAATGTAGAGACATTTATATTGAAAGTGAAACATCTTCAGCATTCATTACATATGCATTTCTGTTAGCTCACTGTTTGTTATTTGGTTGATGTACTCTTCCCTTGTTACTTTCAGTGTTTAGGTTTTCAAATAAATTGATTCCAAACAGTCACAATTTTGTTCATTATATACTTCTTATCTGTTACGACAATATCACAGATGTTTATAAACAAAGTACTCTCTACCACAAACCAAGTATTCATTCATTTCCTTTTTATCATGACTTATCCCTGAAAATTCAGCATGGAACACTTGGGAAGGGTCTCCTCATTTCATCCCCAAAGCAGTAGTGGATAGACTAGGAAGTAACAGAATTGAGAGTGGCCTGAAGTTACCCAGTACTTTATGATTGAGTTGGCACTTGAACGTAGTCCAAAATCAACATCTGAATAACTACAGTGCATTCTCCTATCCTGGCAACAAACAGAATGAGATCTGAGAAAAATGAAAATGGCATTAAGAAGATAAGCCATTTTTAACATACATTCTTAGTAAGCCAGGGGACAGGTTGAATACAGAAGTGGTGTTCTGACCGGTTCTGGAAAACCAGTAGCGGAAATTTTTAGTGGTTCGGAGAACCAGCAAATACCACCTCTGACTAGAGATTTTACAGTATCCTTCCCCTGCCACATCCACCAAGCCACGCCCACAGAACCGGTAGTAAAAATTTTTGAATCCCACCACTGGTTGAATACATGCAGTAGTTTATATAGTCAGGGTTTGCTGTGGATTTATGGTAAGGTATGATGGTTTCTGATTCTTAAACTGTGTCCACATGTTAACAATTTTTAATTCGGTTTCTTTTTAATTTGTGTGACTAATAAGGAGTTTTGTGGGGTTATTTTTCTTAGCTTGTATTTGTAAGAATGTGTCTGTGAGACAGTTGCTCTATTGAGGACATATGGAGTTTCAATGCAAATTATAGTAATCTATAATTAAGCAACCCACAATTCTGACCTCAAAACCATGACTGACTGGGGAGTAGTGGTGGTGGTGGTAACATTTCAGACAGCATCCAATTCTGGTTTAGAATTATGTACTTGTAAACTATGTACCATGTAAACTTGTACTTTATGATCATTTTATGATAATATGCATAATATATTACTAACATCTTACAATCTTGTGATGATTTTTATCTTAGAAAGCAATTAAAATAAGTAATTACTTTTTTGCAGGATTCAATCTGGGTTGGTCACCGGGACCAAAGGTTTAATCCAGAGGTGGTATTCAGCAGATTCTGACCAGTTCTGGAGAACCAGTAGCGGAAATTTTGAGTAGTTCAGAGAACCGGCAAATACCACCTCTGACTGGAGATTTTACAGTATCCTTCCCCTGCCACACCCACCAAACCACGCCCACAGAACCGGTAGTAAAAAAAATTGAATTCTACCACTGGTTTAATCTTCTAAGCTTTCAGACCTGTGCTGAAGCCCATCCTCAGATAACTTCTCTCCACGGGAAGGGGCTACTTTGCTTTGGGCTACTCTATGAGTGGTATTTATATGGCGCCTGGTTGGGTATGCTTTCTTATTGGGTGTTTTTTGTTATCATAGCTGAAATTTTTGTTACTATATGGATTTATAAAGTCATCTATTTTATGTGGTGAATTATCTCCAGCCATTATCACACTGCTGCAAACAGATTTTATTAATGCCTGTTCTGTCTCTTTAAAAATGAAGCTAACATCTAGAGTGCTTTTATTAAATACATTTGTGGCTGCAAATTAAATGCACTATACTTCTGACCTTCATTAAGTTTCCAAGAAAAGCCTTCCTCAACCCGATTCCTCCATATATGCCAATAATGCAACTCCTGGAATTTATTTGACCAACATTTGATCAAAGTTATTGGGAATTGTATCTAAAGGTTAACAAAAGCCACTTTTTGTAAAGATGAGTAAGTGAAGTCATCTATAATATACAAAAAAATGTCAGGAAATGTACCGTAAAGTGTTCCTGTGACTTGAAATTTTCATCCAGATAAACCCGGGCTCTGTTGTAGTCTTTCATTGCATCACTAGATAGCAATTCTCTGGGGAGGAAAAAATTGAAAAGAAAATATGCAGAGTAAATTTCTTTTGAAATATTAAGGAACTGTTTGAGAAAAATCAAAGCATATTAACAGCCCCTTACTTTTTGGGAGGTTACTGGAGAAATCGGTTACAAATGAACAATGGAAATAAATTGCTGCATTCAATTAATTGCTATTCTATTGTTTATTTGTTGAGTTCTCCTTCACAAGTCAAGCCATATATCTTTGCAGGCACCTTTCAAGTATGTTCCACTAAAAGGAATCTTAGTATAATAAAAATCAGAGGGGACTTTTTTCTTGTGCTCAGGAGAGGGCACTGTTTCTCTTTTTTCAGCAAAGGAAAAAAAAACATTTCTTTTTATATTCACTTATGTGGTAAAAATATGTCTAAAAAAATTATACTCCAAGAATAAACTATTATTAAACCACATCAGACAGAAGATCTGTGGGGACTAATTTTCTTTGAAGTGGAATACAATTACTGTTCTGTAGAGGTAAAATAATCAGAAAAAAAATCCATTCAAAATAGAAAGTACTATAGCATTCCTCCTCCTCCTCCTCCTCCTCCTCCTCCTCCTCCTTCAATAAACAAATTGTCTCGTCCAACACATGAAAGCCACAGGTCATAGCATTAATTTCAATGGCACCAAAACTCTAGCCACTATAGAAAACTCCAGCTACAGAATTATCAGAGAAGCCATAGAGATTGAAAAAAGACCTGAAAGCATGAATAGAAGAGATGACTCCACCAGACTCAATTATCTGGAAGCCTGCACCCACAAACAAAAAAACACCACAAGCCAAGAAAACACCTGGGCACAAACAGACCCCCCTGATACCTCCAGCTCAAACAAACCCCAGCCAGGCACCCAGATGAAACCTAGCTTCCTAATAAATGATAGCCGTCTGTTTACCTGAAGCCAAGCTGCACTAAAAGCCTCCAATACAGGAAACACAATGTTGCCAGCCAATAGAGACAACAAAAAAAAAAAAAAGCTACAAAACAGACAGAAGATATTAGAAACACCAATCAAGCAGAACACAGTAAACTCCAAGACCAATAAACACAGACCAAGACTCCCAACCAATCAGGATGAAGAAAGATGAGACTCTGCCGAAACGTCGCTACAATTTTAAAAGCACAACTATAATGATTTGGGAAAATACCCGAACAAAGCTGAATACCATACATATAAATTCCTGTGAAAAATTAAGAAAACATTAATTTCATGTCCTGTGGCTTTAAGGTGCTGGAAAAGGGAGAAAAGAAGAAAATACTTCATCCCTTTTCCAGCACCTTAAAGCCACAGGACATGAAATTAATTTTGAGGGAACCAAATTAATCTCCAATACTGAACACTTCAACAAGAGAATAATCAGGGAAGCCATCAAAATAGAGAAACAACCCCATAACATGAATAAACGGGATGATGCCTCCCGCCTACCAGACATCTGGAAACTAGCCCTTATCAACAAACGAGTCCCAGCCACAAAAACCAACACTGGACCCAAAACAATACACAACACCACCACCATTCTCCCTCACCAGACTCAAACCCAAACCCATCCCATAGACGAAAGACAACCACCGTCCAGAAACCAGACCACGGCTGTATCACCAGCTGCCACACACCCCGACTCCCAAACCAAGCAAACAGACACATGCCATGAACACATATCCAGGCCTTAAACTTGGAGCCAAACCAAAACCTGGAACGTCACATCACTACCTCAGGATATCACATCAAGGAACTCAGGAGGTTACACCACAAAACCTCAGGATGTTGCAACACAGCCAACGACCCAGGAGATTACAGCACAAGACCCAGGTTGTTACAACAATAGAACTCAGAAGGTCATCACACAGCCCATGACCCAGGTCATTACGGCCCAGGAGATTACAGCACAAGACCCAGGATGTCAAAACAATAGAACTCAAAAGGTCATCACACAGCCCATGACCCAGGTCATTACGACCCAGGAGATTACAGTACAAGACTCAGGATGTCAAAACAATAGAACTCAGAAGATCATCACACAACCCATTACCCAGGTTGTTACAACACAGGAGGCTGATAGACACACAGCCAATACCTCAGCCACACATGTTCTTACGAAAAAGCCAATCTGCAAACATCAACTCCATCAACCAATCAAGAAATGACAACACAGCCAACCTCCCCACCAGTATATATAGGGCCCCGATCACGCTTTACTTGCACAAGCACAAAGCCGAAAGCACCAGCCTGAAAATGGCGAGTGGGACCTCATCTAAACGTTGCCAAGATACTCTCAATCTTACACGGGAAAAGACCCAAACACGCCAAGACCTGCATACATACATACATATGACCTCTATATTCCTCTTATCATAATCTCTTATATATCTTTTGCCAATCTCTACAGAGCTACACACTTGTCTCGACAGAGTTCAAGCTGTCTTTTCTTTTAGTTAATCTTTTCTCTTTCTGTTCTGTCAATGTTATTGCATTTCTTCATATTTCCTTTTTACTTGTTCATGGCTGGGCTTTTTTCATTCTCCTCCTCTTCTTCCAAATCTTTGTTCCACCTGAAGGAAATGCTCAAAGAACTTTTACCTCACACCAGTTCTGCTGAGGGAAGGCAATAAAATGCCTCTTTCCCCCCAGTGGTTGCCTTCTTTCCAGTTGCCTCATCATGGCTTTTATTTTGTTTGTTTGTTTATTAAATTTGTTTGACACCCATCTGTTTGGCTGAGCTTTCCCTCTGCTAAATTACCCTATTCTTCATAAGGCCTATAGCTGCAGAGTTCCCGGGAGCCATCTTGTCTTCCCTCCTGCCTAACACAGTCTGATTGGTAGCTGGGTGGTCCTAGTGATGGGAGAGGGCATGTTTACCTACAAAAAATTAAGCTGCACAGAAAATCCGTAGAGCCTGTGCAGAGTCCAAGGGCATTCTTGGAAATAATAACATAGAGGCTGGACTTTGCTCTATGCTTGTTCCTTTTTATTTAGAATAATATTTTAATGTATCAAAACAATAGAGCAAAACAGGGCCTGGCAGGCACTGAAAGAGGAGTCTAGGCTGCAAAGGTCTATGGCTTCCTCTTAGTGTTAGATAAACAAACAATAAAAATCTTATTTTCCAAAATGGTTGAAGTAATAGCAAGACAAGTCAAACAAGTAGTGCAAACAATTCTCCTTCTATAAGTAATAAAATAATGTACTCATTGTAGAGGCGAATAGAGTAGTAATTTGAAAAGGATATCAAACTATTTGCATTTATTTTCTTTTCAAAAATAATCAAAGTTGACTAAGCAAAAGTATTTATCTAGCTTTGATCTGCCTTTTTTTGTTACTTACTTAACAAACTTGTCCACGTGAGACATAGATGCTTCATAGTTTTTCCCTCCAAACTCTTGACAATGTAATGCCATGAAGTGTGGCTTATGTGCATGTACAATCTGCAAAATAAAATAAATGTATGAATATCGCATCCCAAAATGACATTAGACGAAGCCAGCTAAAAATCAATGTTCAACAAATCAAAGTTCAACAATCACAGTAATGACTCACTTCAAATAAAAAATTATCAAATCCCATTTACTGTACATGCTTTTCTAAATACTATGTTAAGGTTTCTGAGTCTTTAAGGTTTCAGAATGCATATTTTACTATATCATTTTTGTTCAGCTTTTTTAAAAAAGGAGATAAAGACAGGAAGAGACATGTAAAATATTGATCAATCAATCCTTGGGTACAGATGTATGAGTAAATAAATCTAATTTACTGCTCATTTTCATGATACTTTCTCAGTTAAACATGACACACCTGCAAAGCAAATGAGATGAAACGACCCAAAGTTTTATGGAAGTTTTATGGAACTGGAATACCTGCACTTTGTATACTTGGAAGCCACTGTAACTATTCTTCTCCAACTTAAGTAGTATTTTAAGTTTGCATGAACAACTTCAGAAGCTTTGACAAATAAAATACAAGAAGTGGGGATGCATCTTATGTACACATAAACCAAACTAAAATATTGTGATATAGGCAAATAAATCAGCAGCTTTCATTCCTACGCAGATTAAGAAATTGACAACAAACTTGTCCTCGGGGCAATATTAATTTATATTTTTCCTGTTGCTTAAGTGTCAGAAACCTATGCCTGTTGAAATTACGCTGTCCTGGTAGCTGAATTCTATTCTGCCAGAGTAATGAGTCTTCCAAGTGAGGCTTAATTTCCCTTCCCAGTGAATATCCCTGCTGGTGATAAAAACAATCACCAATCTCTGTTCCTTATGCATGGTAAAGTAAGACTGGGCCAAGACAGATAGCGGCTTGGATCATACCTTTCAAGATTTCAAGCTGCTGATAGGCCACTTGTCAAAGCCAGTGACTTGTTAATTGAACTTTTTGTAACGTTTTGTAGAAATATGTATCCAGGAATAAAACTGATACTAGAGACACAAAATGGATGGAGGGTGGGAGGGCATCACGCCCCACAAACTGAGATCTGCATACAGGTAGTCCTCAACTTACAACAGTTCATTTAGTGACCATTCAAAATTACAACGGAACTGAATAAAGTGAGTTATGACTATTTTTCACAATTACGACCTTTGCAGCATCCCCCATGACCATGTGATCAAAATTTGGATGCTTGGCAACTGGTTCATACTTATGATCATTGCTGTGTCCCAAGGTCATGTGAACACCTTTTGTGACCTTCTGACAAGCCCTAATGGATCAAACAATTGAAAGTGGCAGCCAGGAAGTTTTGTACCTTCAGACTTGCAAGGTTCTGTTAATGTAGCCTCACAATAAAATAGATTTACCTCATCTAATCATGTTTCCTGTCTGGTTTACCAGGGAGGTCTGACACGACAACGGAATGAATCACTGTAACAAGGTCCCCCACCCCCAGATGTAGCTTCCATCTGCTGTTCTAATAATCTTCTTTTAAATATTTTATTTTAAAATTCACTGTGGAGTTATTAATGCTGGATTTGTTTGAATCCTGTTATGATGCATGTTTTATTGTTTTGCTGTAAAGCACCATAAATCAACAAATTGAACTCAGTGATAAGCAACTTAAATAAAAAAATATAAATTAATAAATGGGAATTATCCTTATGTATATTTAAAATAATTCCATAAAAGGCCAAAGTAACATAGTCTCAGTATAGTTAGATTATTAGTATGCGCGTGCATGTGTGTGTGAGAGAGAGAGAGAAAGAGAAAGAGAGAAAGAAAGAGAGAAAGAAAAAGAGAGAAAGTGGGGAGGGGAAAAAGATGGAGGGAGGGAGAGAGGGGGGAGATAGAGGCAGGGGAGAGAGGAAGGGAGGGAGGGAGAGAAAGAGAGAAGAGATATGTGGGTATGTGGAGAGACAGAGACAGAAAGAATACTTATAAATTATGGAGGTACACAACAGATGCAGAATTAAACCAAAATAGCAATTGAGAGTAAAGTGGAGACAGCACACACGCAGATAGAAGGCTAACTGTATTCGCTCCAAATATAATTTTAAAAGAAGAAGTAGGAAATATACAAGGCTAAATTATACGACTGAGAACACCTTGGCTCTTCTACCACCACATAAAAGGGGGTGGGGTGAAGAGTAAGATTACTGGTTTTGGTCGTCTAAAATTATCTGTCTGAATGAAGAATGAAGTGGGACAAAATGGAATTCTTCTAGTTTTTAAAGCTCAAATGGGAGAGCCACAAAACTGCTAACCACACAAGTTAGCTTCTCATTTTTGGCCCAGTATGTAATAATGGAAAAGGTGGAGCTGTAAGATTATTTCTAGGAAACAGAAGTATCAGAGACAGCCATTGATCCCCCAATCACCTCACAACTGGATTACAGTGATGAGCTCAGCACTGGGTTCTCCTTGAAGACCAATTGGCAAATGTAGCTGGTCCAGAAGGCAGCAATGCAGGCACTGATGGCGGCACCATGTTATGCACATGTGACTGATGTTTTGTGACCTGAACTGGTTCCCAGTTGGCTTCTGCTGCAATTTAAGGGTCTGGCAGAGACTTTCATATCATAAGAGGGCCTGGCTAGCTGAAGGATCACTTATCACCTGTTGTCTCTGCCTATGCACTTCAGTCCAGTAGAGTGAGTGAACTACAGATCCCATCAATTAAAGAATATCATCTTGCAGACCTAGGAAGCACTTCTACTCTACTGCAATTCCAGCCTTTTGGAATGATCTCATCCCTGTAATTTTGTGTGGCTATCATCTTTAAGTTCTTCAGGAAACTACTGAAGACCTGGTTGTTCTCCAGTGGTGGGTTTCCAAATAGTTTCCTACCAGTTCTATGCGCACACATGGAGGACTCAAAGACCAACCTCTGTCAACGCTGGTAAGCTGAGCTGTTTTTTTAGCTCAGCTGAGGTATGCAAATCAGCTGAGCTAAAAAAACAAGGGAATATAGTAATGGCGGGGCGGGTGGGTGGGACCAACCAGAGGTGGTATTTGCCGGTTTTCCAAACTGGTCAAAATTTCTGCTACCGGTCTGAACCGGCTGAATACCACCTCTGTTGTTCTCCCAGGCCTTGGAAACAGGATGATTGTGGAAGCCCCTTTTTATTTTGCTGTATTTTAATCTGATTTATTTTGGACTTTTTGTATTTTGCTATTCTGCTTGGTTGCATTTCTTTTAATATGTTGGACGTAACTATCCAGTCATTCAGGAGTTGGGCAATCTATAAAATAAATTAGCTAACTTAAACAAGGGGACATTAGGTTCAGATCTGACTTTTTTCTGAGTTTATGTATTATTCTCAGTTTTTTCATAATAGCGTGTCACTTGAATGAACTTTTAAAAATCCCTTTATTTTGTTGTTTTGTAGAAATGGTGAATCCTCTGGATTCCAGCTATAAACTGCAAAGCAATAAACAAACCTATCCAAAGAAATCAACGTTCTCAGCACAAACATCCACAGGCTATCCCTCAATTACATGGGAAGTTCCTTATAGGCCTTTTGCTGGCAAATCATATGACCAAAAGAAAAACTGTAATTAAATTTATATTTTGAGAAAGTTAAATATCTAGTTCTTTTTTTAAAAAAAAGATTTATAAAGTGAGCTGTTTTTTAAATATAGAATGTTCTTATGTGCTATTTTTCAATTTCCACTTTTCTGTAACCATAAATCTGCTTCTTCTTCCAACTGTGTTTCTCTGGAAGGCGTCTTTTGGATATAGATATATAAAAAACTGGGTCTTATTTTTGGGGAAACACAGTAGCTACCATATAAGAAATGAAAGCACTACATTCAGTCTGAAAATGTAATAATAGTGCCATCTACTAAAATACTCTATACTCTAACTTATAAATGCAAAGTATAAAGTGCTGGTTGCAGCCAGACATGTTTCAATTTATATCTGCATGAACTGCATGGTTTCTATCTAATGTTCAACTATTTTTATAATATAGGTAATCCTCAACTTACAACTATTCATCTATGAACTGTTTGAAGTTACAATGGCACTAAAAATAGCTATTTGTGACTGGTCCTGACATCTAGGACCATCATAATATCCTCACGGTCACATGATCAAAATTTGAGTGCTTGGCAACTGACATATAATTACCATGGTTGCAGCATCCTAGTTGTCATGTTATCACTATTTGCGACTTTCCCAACTGGCTTCCAACGAGCAAATTCAACGTGGGAAGCCAAATTTACTTAATGACCGCATGGTTCACTTAACTGAAGTGATTTACTTAACAATCATGGCAAAAAAAGTTATAAAATCGGGCCTGACTCACTTAACAATGGAAATTCTGATTCCAATTGTGATCGTAAGTTGGGGACTACCTATAGAGGAGAATAGGCTTATGCTGATCATTCTCTGGACTGAGTTCTGAGCTCCATGGAGCTAAGGCAGTGGTTCCCAAACTTTTTCAGTCCACTACTGATGCTACAAACTCATCCTCAATGCCCCCCACTCAGGGGAGGGATTCAAATTTCTGTGGGCATGGCCTAATTTGAGGGTGTGGCTTGCTGGTCACATGACTGGGTGGGCGTGGTTTGCTGGTCACGTGATAGGTGGTGTGGCTTGCTGGTCACGTGACTGGGTGAGTGTGGTTTGGTGACTGGCAAACCAAATACAAGTGGTCCTCACTTAATGGCCGGTTGCTTAGCAAGTGTTCTAATTTATGACTGGCCTCCCCAGAACCACTTGACCTGTTTTTGGAGTTTTGACAGCCATGCACACACATATACACATACTCCCTTCCAACCCTGCTGGAGCTGGTCATTGGACTAGAATCAGCAAAGCATCTCTGATTAGATTCTAGTAGTGAATAAAATCTAATCAGAGATGCTTTGCCGATTCTTGTTGATTTGTTTTATTTGTATTTCTTTATTTTATGTTGCTGAATTGCATTGACATGTGTGTCCCTTCTTGTGCACAACCCAGAAGCTTTTGTGATTCTTTGCAGCAAAA